TCAACTTGCTCTTGGTAACAGTCACTTTTTTACTGCCTCAGGAGCAAGCAATACCTGTGCTAGAATTCTAGGGGAGAGATGTGAAGGAAGCACAACTGTATTATTGGGTGTGATGTGTACTGCTGGCATAGATTTAAATGTCTTCCTTGACTTTGTTTCTCTAAGTTTTGTGGTCACTAGAGCTGTCACTATGAAACTGCCTGAGTTCAGAGTGATACTAGGGTTTTAATTTCCAGACAGGCATAAAGATCTAATGTAGCATACAAAAAAACCAGCAGGCTTAGGGTTTGAAATACAAAAATTGAAAACCACTGAAATTTTTGGTGATGTAGATCACATTGGATACTAAATTTAAACTGTCCTAGCTAAATGAGGCAGCAGAAGAGAAATATAAATGAAATATGGAATGTATCCATCTGGAAATAGGAGAGAGGTTTGGAGAACTACTTTTTTGCACATGTCTTGGTGTGATTATGAACTAAATCAGACTTGCCTATGTTGCTGAGCTTTTATTAAGTCTTGGTAGACAATATGGTACATAATGACTAAAGCAGTAACTCTGTCTTGCTGAGTGTGGATTGTAAGTGATGGCCTTTTGAATATCGTAGTAAAAATAGCCTTTTTCAGGGTAGCATATTTAATGAATGAGGCACTGTTCTTTCAAAAAGTATTGTAGGGTCCTTCAAGATTTTATGGAAGTAGATCTGTGAAAATCTTATGTGTACTGTATAAGCTAAGCTGACAGGAACAGGTACTACTTCTCATTAATCAGTTGCTATCGTTGGTGCACATGGGATTAAAAAAAGTGCTTGGGTGTGGAAGCTAATTTTTTGATTTTGAATGTCAGTAGGAAAAAAAAAATATGGGTGGATTGAAAACAAATGCCTTGATCTTACACTTAGTTTTGCATTCTACACTTCTTCTGTGTCAGAACCCTGAGTGCATCTCCTGTCTCAGTTAGCAGTTTAGTTAGCAGACTTCAAGGTCATGTCCTTGATTGACAGAGGAGCTGATGGGAGAAAAGCAGAGGAAGGGGCCTGCCCCTTCTTTCCATTCTGGTTCTGTTTTTATCTGATGCTTTACTGCCTTTGTTGTATCCCAGCTGTGTAAGTAGCTATATGTGTGCCTGTCTTGTAATTTCTTGATCCTGCCCTGGACCTGGTGGTTGGGCTTTCTTGCCTAATCTTGGATTTGCCTTGTCACCACAGACTTGCAGTCCCTGGACTGCGTCTAGCCCTGATCACTGTCTCTGGATCCAGCCCTGACCTGGATGTGCCACTGAAGAGTCCTGACTTACTGCTCTCACCTGCCTTGTTTTCACACCCATTTCCCAGCTTACCTTCCTTTGCAGAACCAGCTGTCCCCTTCTGCTCTCTGGCAATTTGGATCTAAAAGGAAAATTTGTTAAATAGTTGTAAATTAAATGGGAAGACTATGTGTGATGTCATTTTTCCAGTATTTTAGCATGTTTTTTGTGAATAGTAAGCAGAGGAAAAGGTTGCTCATACAGGTTGTGCAGTCTTCATGCTTGGAGATTTTTAGAGATTGTCTGGATAAAGTGCTGTGTTATTTATGTGGAGCTGCGTAAACCCAATTTGTTTTCTAGTCTTCTTTTAGTAATTAAGGTCTTCACTTTATTTATCACTTTGTGTGAATTGATGAGGTAAAGCAAAGTTTAAAACACTCCAGTATTGTCAAAAATAGATGAAATTAATACATTTAGTCAGAATACTACTTACTTATCAGGATATTATTGCAAGCTTGAGAATATCTTGTTAAATTTTTCAATGATCTTGAATAATTGATTGTTTTCTCCTAAGCCCTGAGTTGCCCATGTCTCATAATTTTGCAGTCATTTCCCAAAAATATGTTGTATCTTCATCTTTATTATTTTTCCTTAAAACGCAGTAAGAATAGAAATAAATAACTTGGTTGTTTCTCTTTAATAAACTAGCTCCTAAAAAACTTACTTTGTAGTAAATATTGCTAAAAATATTTTTGTTTCTTTGCATGAAAGCTCATAAATGAACAAAAATTCCATGTATTTATTTATTAGTCTTGTGGGGTTTTGTTGACATGCTTAGAGCAGTAGTATATCTGTGGGATGGGAGAAAGAACGTACAGTTCCAGTTTCTGGTTGTTTGTATCACTGGAGGAAACCAGAATAGGTTTGTACATTTTTAAAATCATTTATGCCTAATTTGTCTCGCCTTTAGGTAAAGAGATGGACTGAGTGGCATTTTAAAGGGACTTTTTTTTTGTTATGATTTCAAAGCAATGTAGGATAATTTACATTGGAAAAGACTTCAGCAGGCTCACAGTTCAGTCCCATTTTCAGATCAGCATCACCTGTGAGGTCAAACGAGTCAGTGAAGGGTCTTCAAAGCTCCAAGGTCTGCCTGGAGGCAGCAGAATCTTTCTGGGCAACCTTTTCTGAAATACTAGGGTGATAAGTTAAAATAAAAGGAGGCACTCTGAACTGTCTGTTACCTATTGTGTGGAGTATTAGAATTTATAGCTAACAAAATTTAGTGTAAATACATTAATTTGTCTTGGAGAAAAATACCTAATGTGAAGAAAAAAATGCTTACTACTCACCAGGGATCTTCTAATAGTAACAGTGACAGTAGTTTCTGTGAGGCACAGCGGATTCAGGGTAGGAGTAAGACGTTTGGACACTTCAGAGTGTGATTGGAATTGTATGTGGATCCAAATACATGCATCCTTGTTCTACAGCTGTGTCACTTTAAGCAAAGTCAAAGACAGGTTGAGTGAGCCCTGTGTGGAAAGGAGTTGGGGAGCTGAGGAGAAGGGGAACCTGTTCCTTCCTCCAGGTTCCTTACTTCCCCTATCTTCCATAGGGAAGTTCATCTTTCTGCCTGCACCGGTTCTTCAGGACCAGTGACATGCACTGCAGTGCTGCATTTATTCTTGCTTCTTCTCACATACAGTGACATGGGGAGTTGCCCCAAGGTGCTCAAGATCAACCTGTGCATGTGGATTCAACAGTGTAAAGAGGTCTTTCAGTCCCTCAAGACAAGAGCAGGAAGGATCTCCTGATGTCTCAGCTTTTCTACTCTATATGCATCATGCAGAGGAGAAGGGGAAGGAAAAATAAGTAGATGGGGTGGGCAGCAGACTTGCTGCTGTGTACAGGGACTGGAGGAAAAGAGAGCAGGTTCCCTCCCTACCGGTTCCTGTCAAACTCTAGCTTGTTGAGAAGCAACACCCTGCTTAGTGTTCAAAGTGCTACACTTCCCTTCTTCCCTTTCTGCTCTTGCCATGACCTCAGTCTATATCTCTTAAACCTGAGGATTGGTCTTATCCAGCTTTCTTTTACAGTCTCATATTACAGGTTCTAGGACACAGACATGCTTTTATTTTTAGCTGCTTATCATTAGTTGTGCTGTGCTTTGCTACTGGCATTGCTGGACATTGCATTAAATGCATAACAATAATTGATTATACTACTGCAGTGATTCACTACAGTGGCGCATGATGAAAGTCAGAACGAGGAAGACTAACAGTCATAAGTCAAGATTTTTCTACTGTATGGTATTTTGGTAAAATCCATACCATACAGTCCCCTTACAGCTTCAGGCTCCCTTTACATTCTGGAGATATCTTTTTGGTGGGATTGATGGGGATGGTGGCTGCTTATAATGAGCTCTATATAGTTCCATCAACACAGATGCCTTTTTTCTCTTAGATTTTAGAACTGCCTCAGGAAGAGTTTTTTTTGCTGGTGCCTAGTTAGTTATGTACCTAAAAAAGCTGCCTATCTTTTGTGCTTCCCTGTGTGCTCTGGGCTTTGTGACAGAAGCATGTGTTTGATGATAGCACTTCCTTGCTGGGGTAACTTTCAGTTCAAGAGGACTGCAGTCACTAAGGGGAGCCAAGGTCAGGTTTGAGGGAAACAGGGAGCCACCACTCCCCATATGCTCTGCTGGGATTGAGTCTAAGGCTATTGGTGATGACAGTCCTTACATTAGTGTTGTTCTGGGATTCTGTGAGTGGAAAAAGAGGTTTGGATGGCTGTTAGAATATCAGTGCTGTAGAAACAGATCAGTTTTTAAGGTACAGCAAGAATATTTGAGAACTTTCTCACTAGTCTGAGGAAACCTACCTGTGACCTGTTAATGTAAGAAATATTCTGCCTTAATCATAGGGTGTGTTGTTACTCTAGATATTTGGGTAAAGTTAAGTACTTTTGGATTTTCAGTAGAAAGTACTTCCTTCAATTTTACATTGTTCCTTAGTATTCAGTGGTCCTGGTCACTGGAAAAGAAAACCAGGTAAAACCAGACTTTGACAGCTCTTGATACTTTAATTGCTGTATGTTCCTTCTGTTTTTCTCTTGGTAGATTTAAAAGCCTTTTATTGATGATTCAGGCTATCTAGACTGAACTCTGGTCTATTTCAATGCAATCTTGTGTTGTATAACGATCTGGAAGGGAGAAACCTTTCTAAATTTGCTTGTCTTAATCTGTTTACATGCAGGAACTTGTGCCATGAGGCAGGCAGGTGGGCGATGCAGTGTTCCATTTCAGCCCTAAATTAGAGTCCCACTGTCTCTAAGGGCAAGAAATATTTATTTCCTGGTGTAATTTTAGGCAGCAGACCTAAAACCTTGTGTTTCAACCTTGTCTGATGAAAAATATGAATTTTTCATTGATATGTCTGAAATCAGCAACTGTAGCTGTTTACTTAATTTATTTTTTTTAATTTAACTTATTAAACGGTAGGCATGTTAATTTGCAGACAAAATAAGACTAACAAAATAGCATGCTGTTTATCTCTTTGTTAATCTGTAAATTCTAATTAAAAGCACGTGTTGTGTAAACAGTTTTATTGAAATTCAGATGTAAAGAATATGGCTGTACTGTAAAGCAATTTAAAGAGTAAGTCCTTAATGGGTGCAATAATTAATATTATACTAATGTATTCTAAGTGTGTCTTTTGAGGTATTTGGTTATTTACTATTTTATCCCTATTTTTAGGGGAATTCAAATGGCATTGCTACTGTGGACATTTCAGCAGGTTTTGTGGGACTAGACAGCTATGTGGAGATACCAGCTATTTTCCTCACAGCATTTGCAACATATGCAGGACCTTTCCTTTGGGCCATCCATCTGCTGTGCTACTTGAGTTCTGAAGTTAGCAGGTAATAAGTTTCGAACTAACGTAATGCTCCGCGCTGCAGATATAAATACCATCCGTAAAGTGTATATCTTTTCAAAGAAATTTTTGTTCACATAATCTTTTGCCCTGAAAGTTAGTTTTGTACTAAAAAAAATGTGTGTTACTTTTTTCAGCATAAGTTTGTATCACCTAACTTTTCCACTTCCATTTTATCTGCAGAAGCTTTGCTCTGGGAATATACATGTATGCTTTACTAATACTGTTTCTTAGTGAGTTCTCAGTTTGCTGTGCTAAATTACTTAAAATTTTATTATTTTTTTGTGACAGCACATTCTGCCTAAAAACATTTTTCTTGAAACCTTTTGAGTTAGAGACATGAGAAGGGTTTTTTAAAGTATTATAATAAAAATCAAACTTAACTAACATGATATTCTTTGAATTTCATTCTTTGACAAAGTGACATGCAAGGTTTTATAAATAAAACATACGAATATTATTGTATATTACTGGTTATTGCAGTCATTTGTAGCTAAAATATTTGTACTTCTCTGGGTATATTGTGTGGTGGATGAGTTAAAACAAAATAATGCACAGGAATTTTAAGAAAACAGTTGTAAAATGCTAATGTAATTCAGGAGTGTGCATATAAAATCCAATTGGACACTCTAAAATTGGTTTTAACTTATCATTCAGGGTATTTAAACTGAGCAATACAATATATTAAAATAGGGGAGTTGTGAATTCCACATCATATCACATCAATACACAAATGCCAAAACTTGATGTATTTGCAAAGAATTAACATTTGACAGTGACTAAATTCTTACCATCTCAGAGTCTTTTTTCTGTTATCTGTGGAGTCTTAATCTACTTCTTTTTTTTAGGGATTAAAAAAATACTGCAGTAAGCTTGGCAGGTGGGATTTTAGACAGTAGTTTATCACAGCTTTTTGCCATATGCATTGTCATCCTCTGTAAACTTCTGATTCCCTTTTATCTATAGAGTGTCATCTGGTTCCACACTGTCAGTGATTTTTGTTTTCTTTCTTTCTTGAAAGCTTTTAGCTTTCTGGCTACTTCTTTTGCTTCTTTGTTTTAGGCTATGCCTACACTGTGTTCTTGTGTTGGCTTGGTTTTGTTCATTAAAGGTGTAAGGAGATGGGATCACCAGCTGACCAAGCTGCACAGAGCAGTGGAGGTTTTTGAGGGAGTCTGTTCTAGCAGACTAAATTCCTGCACAGTCACTGTGTCCATTGTTCTGGATTAACAGGCTTCTTTAGCAGGTATTCACAGTGATTAACCTTTGTTCTCTGATTTGCCTGTCTGCTACATGGCTCTGTAAAGATGTCCAGCAGTCTCTACTTGGTTGCTGTGGATTTATGCAGACCAGTACTGGCCATTGTACTGATGTGCCCATGCACTCCTTAGTGTAAATTGAGACTCACTGTAGAACCTTACCTCTTAGTCTGAGGCCAGCAACCCTGAAGTTGTCTTAGGTCTTAAATAGATTGATAGGGTCTAAGTACTGGTGTTTGAGTATAATACCTCTGAAAATACCTCTAAAGCCTCTGAAGGCTTTTCTCTGTTAATTCTGGTATTTTTTTTGCTTCAGGAGGAGTTGGATGTGGAGCACACTAATTATTGGTATCTTGATTTGTGTAACCTCAGAAAGCCCTTTCTCGAATTTTCTGTACTACCTGCTGACTTGACACCAAACTGAGTTTGAACTCTGTTTCTAATGCTCCCCAGTTTAGCTTTAGCTACTGCTTTTCTTGATGCATTTTTCCAGTGTCCAAATTCTTCAAGTTTTCTCCATTCTTTCAGTTCTATTTAAGAAAATAGTGAACATGTACATATAAAAAGTATTGCCACTTGTCTTCTGGTAAATGTGTGACCCATTAATCTGGGTATTGCTTGCATTCCATGAATGTCCTGGTATGCCTTTATACCTCTGCTGTGATTTGTTTGAAATAGTGCTGTGCCATTTAACTGTTCACATCCATGTTTCTGCTATTTTAGGGTTTTTTTCTTGTGGTCCCACTCTTCATCCTTAATTATTTGGAACTGACACTTTTTGCTTGAGCTTGAGCCAAGCAGAGTAGAGAACGCTGCCTTGTTGGCATTGTCTGGGGAAGGAGGAGATAAAAAATGAGCTCCTGTAATTTAAAGAACTGCAGTTTTATTGTTGTTTAAAACCTAGACTGCAGACTGTGATGAACACTAACATACAGTGAAGAGAATGTGATAACATACAGCATGTTTTTGGAAAGCTCTTCTAACAAAATAACAAAAAACTTTTGGTGACAATGTTTGAGTATCTGTACTTGTTTTATATTGTTCAAATAATATGACTCTACAGTAGTGTTGGTTGTTGTTCTGATGTTTTCCTGGTTGAATTTTTGCAGATTAAATCTCAGCTAGTAGTGTTGCCAGGTACAGTGCTGGCTTAACCTGCTCTCAAGTGGGTAGCTATGGCCTGTAACACCCACATCACTTATGTAAGTAGATTCCATCAAGCAGTTTGTGTCTATAGCCATTTTAAGGTTCATTTGGATCAACTGGTAAGGCTGTTACTTCAATGAAATAGTAAATAAGTATGGACTGGAATCTCTAACAGCTGGGATTTACTTAAATTGGTATGTTAATCTACTCAGAATTTGGTCTACATGCTTTCTATTTACTCTTGTAAAATAGAAAATGTGTGCATTGCCATTGCTGTCCAAATGATTCTTATTACTTGCTTATTACTCCTTGGAACCAAAGCTGAAAATGCAGAAGGCAGGGTGTCAGCTGCTTCATGTGTTTTCTTAAGTGTATGGGAAACTGAACTTATTTTTTAAAAAGTGCTAGATATTCTTTATAAAAGCTTCTTATTAACTGCTTTATAGCAATGTGCCTTGGTCAGTGGAATGCAAACCCCTATTTTTTGATGTCCTGAGAGCAAAATGAAGATGTGGCCAGAACCACTCAGCAGTGTCATTCTTAACAAAAAGCCTTGCATTCTGCAGTCTTAAGAGCTGTTGCATCTGAGGAGGTCGGCCTGGATAGGAAAGTCTTACTCCAGGACTGTCTTTGTTAATTTAAATCACTTAGCAGAGCCTATGTAATTTACAGCTGCATCAGTTGGGTTGGTTTACCAGAGCTTCTTGCTGAAATTCTTTAAAGCTGCACTGCATTGGGTGTCACTGCCTAGGGGCAAGTACAAATACATACCCTTCCCTCTTCTGGCACTTTGCACTTATGAAGCCACAGAATACTTGAGCCTGGAGTCCAACCCTCCTTCACAAAGGAGGGTCAGTCAGAGCAAGCAGAAATACTCCGGGGTCTTCTTGACCAACCTGTTCCAGCATATGGCAGTACTTGGAGTAAAACAATTGTTCACTGGTGTTTAAGGGGAATTTGTTGAATATCATTCATTTTTTTGGTGAACACCAATGGAAAGAGTCCGAGTACATCTTCTGCCCATGAGACATTTATGAACATTGGTGAGAACCCTGTCAGATTTTCTCTGCGCAAGGTTAAACAGTCCCAGCTTTCTCAGCTTCTCACTTTGTCAGATGCTCCAGTCCCTGAGACATCTTTGTGATCTGTCAGTACATTCGCTCCAGTGCATCCATGTTTGTCTTGCATTGGGCACCCCAAAACTGGATCCAGAACCCCAGATGTGATCTCACAACTGCTCAACGGGGAGGGAAGATCACCTCCTTTGACCTGCTGGCTCCACTTTTCACATTACAGCCCTGAGCTGGTTCATGGGAACATTGCTTGCTCGTGCTTGCTCAACTTGTTGTCCACCAGGAATGCTGTATGTGCTTCTATACCTAGCTGCTTTCCAGATGATCAGGCCCAAGCTTGTTCTGGTGTGTGGTGCAGAATTTGGCATCTCCCTTTGTTAAAGATCTTGTTTCTCCAGCCTGTCAAGATGCCTCTGATTAGTAGCAGACCCAGCTCCTGCACAGACTATTCCTCCCAGTTCTGTATTGTGTGCAGACTTGCTGAGGGGGCACTGTCCCATCACCTAGTTCATTAGTGGAGATACTGAGCAGTACTGGCCCCTGTGTGATATCCTGTGGTTAATCACTGGTGACTGGCCTTCAGATGGAACTTCTGCAGCATCTCAGTAGTTTTTCAATTCACCTGAATGTCCACTTTTCCTAGCCTGGACTGCATCATTTTGTCTGTGGAGATCTGACGAGAGACATTAAGAGCCTACTTGTGAGATGAAAGTGCATTAGATACATGTAGCCCATGTGTATTTTGCTGCTATAATAAGGTAGAGTAGAAGATATGGAGGTTTTCAGATAGTACATTTGCTGTGGAAGTGCAGTTGGAGGTCCTTAAATAATTTGCTTTCATCTGAAGAAACTTGTGAAACTATAAGATATTCTCCTCATATGGAAAGGTAAATGTGTTTCTAAAATAATTAAGTGGCATGTGATAGACACTAACATGGATATTACTGCCACTTTTAATCCTTCAGGCTCTCCTGAGAAACTTGGCAGCATAAATGTGAAGGGATTTTCACAGACAGAAATAGAAAGAACTCTTTAGGTTCAGTCTCCATGGAAACTGTGCAATAACTCTTGAAACTATTTTTGAGATGGGGAGTACTGATTAAACTGATGCCTGAACTTAACCAAGTGTTCTATGTGTGACTTGCATAAATTCCTGTGAGCATCTGGTTCATGTAAAAGGTAGTTTTTACAGTAACCACTCTATTGCTCTGATCTGAATTAGAACTCTGGGGTTTTGGGTCCTTACAACTGGAAAAGGGCCATGTTGTTGGATAATTTGACCTATATTATATGACCTCACTGTGCAGTACACTCCAGATGGATTCAGTTTCCAAGCTCCTACCCAAACAAAGTTGTCATGTGGGTGATGTTCACAGTGTTGTGTAATTACCACTCTTCACTTAGGCATCGTGATGGTTTTCAGATTACCAGCACATTGAAATAAGTGTTTTAGTTGGTTTAGTTGGTTAGGTGTCAGGGTGAGCTGGTGGGAGTTTCCCAGCACTAGA